CAACAATAAGGAATAAAATAAAAATCTTTAACACATATGGATCTTTCAATCAAACTTGAAAAAATAATTTAAATAGGAATAAATGTTCCAAATAGCAATTTAATCTATAATTTCAATGATTCATTTAATCATAAACGCAAAACAAAGGGTTTTAACACCCTAATTGTTACACTCTAAATTTTCAAATAAAATTTTCATTTTTAAAACCACACAAAACAATATTTCATATTTCTCAAACCCAAATCTATAAGTTGTTCAAAACACAAGACAACAAAATGTTTGACAATATCCTAGAATCCTCAAAACATAATATCAAGCTGGTGTGTACAATCATGCCGACGCCTTCCTGCGATCCTGAGAGGTACCTGAAACACATTTCATACAACACTGTAAGCACGAAGCTTAGTGAGTTCCCCAAAATACCACGCACAAATAATTAGCCTCTCATGACTATATCTCGATAAGGACCCTCCGGTTATGTGTCTTAGTAAAGACCTGTAACGCCCGAATCCTGGTATGTATTTTAAATTAGAACATTCATTTTTGCAATGGGAATCGACGAGTTGGAGGCCCCAGACTCGTCGAGTATGAACAAATGATTGGACGCGGGACTTGAATTCTACTAGACGAGTCGAGAGGCCTCGACTCAACGAGTAGGGCTGCCAGAGTGAAACCCTAATTTTCAGGGCTTGCATCCTATTTAAACACTTTAACTGGCCTCAACTTCAGCCTCCATCACCTCCAAACCTTATTCACGAAACCCTAGCCCATTTTGTGTTCTTTGTTTTATACATTTGTAACAAGATGGGGCATTTGAAGACCTTTGCAAGACATGATGTTTTTAATACCCTTAAAGTGTCCTAATAAGTTCTTTAAAAAATGACTTAATAATTGTTATGATACTTACAAGTGAGTAAGTATAAAGAAAAAGAAAATCTTTGCTATTTTTTAGTGGTCTCTGGTAACAATTTACATAATTAGTCTAGTATATTCAAATTGTGAGATAGAAACAAGTACTTTATGTACTTACCAGAACACAAAAAATAATAAAATACAACTGTAGGTTATAATAGTTACTCAAAGACCAGTTGACCAAGTTAACTACAAATGAACAAACTAGTAAATCAGAAGTAATGAATTATGGATCAAGGGAAGTTCCTCCTCGATTACAAACATGAAAAACTTGTAAATCTTTGAAACATTTAGAAATCTATCAACAAATGCTCTAATTTCAAACTATCTTAGTTTCTAAAATAAGATTTTCTTCAACCAAAATTTTATAATATTATTATTTTCTTGATACAAAAATCAATCAATCATCTATATTTGATGCAATAATGTCGTGTTATATTCCTAAAGACAGTGTATTTGAAACATAAAAATTGAAAAGATAAACTATTGTTGTTCTTACTTCTTACAATCGACAATCATGAATTATCAAATCTCAATCTATAATTAGAGAATGGACCGAGAAGGAAGAATAGATAAGATGTTGGCTGCGTTTCAGATCTTTCAGTTAATCTATTTTCAAGAATCGATATTGGAGGGACAGGAGGAGAAGGCGTCAAGATGAGAAGGAAGAAGCACACTGAAATCGAATCGTCCAGCATCGCTACTTGTTGATTGTAGTGTATGTGCGTAATGCGTAACAAACTAACAATCTTTACTAGAAATTAGGGGCCATAAGCCATTGCTTAAGTTAAGGCTGAGCATGGCTACAACACCACTCGGAGCATCCACAATGGAGAGTTTAATGAGAGAGTCGATGAGGTGGCAAGTCTATTTAATGAATGAAACTCTATCATTGTGAGATACTACCTTGATATTCAATGAATTTGGAATTCAATGGTCACTAAACTATTCAATAGGAAAAATGAAAATTCACAAGTCTTAAATAAATATTATAAATTTTTGGTAATGTTCCATTAAATTTTATAGAGTTCAATGTATTATTGTAAGAAAAAAAATTATAAATTTGTATGAAATAAAGAAAAGTGATTTACTATTCAATAAGAAAAATTAAAATTTACAAGTCTTAAATAAATATTATAAATTTTTGGTAATGTTCCATTAAATTTTATAGAGTTCAATGTATTATTGTAAGAAAAAAAATTATAAATTTGTATGAAATAAAGAAAAGTGATTTATTAATTGAACTCTGTGAAATCAATACATTGTGGATTTCCTCATAATGCAACAACTTTAAAAAGGTTTCCTAAAAGAAATGTTTATGCATGCATAAAATGATTTGGACCATATATATTTAACCACTTACGTGATGCTATATATATTTTTTGTTTACACAAGACAACCTTATTACATAATGTGTTTTTCTACTTGATATATCACTTACTATCGTTTATTAGTTCAATCGACTTATCTAATTTATGGAACAATTAGGATAAGTTCATTGAAATGCTAAGAAGAGGAAAATCTAAAAACAAAATTAAAATAAAAATAAGAATCTAATCAAACTAGGGATGTCAAAAACCCCCGTGGGACCCCGATCCCATATGAGACTAAACTTTTTAAAAAATCGGGAGCGGGAGCGGGGGCAAAATTAAACCCCGCTTATTTTCGGGACCGGGGTCGGGAGTTGGTATTTCCGTCCCGTACTCCCGCGGGGGTCCCGGTTGTACATTTATGTAAAAAATATATATTTAATATAAAATACATATACAAAATAGATTTTCTAATTTTAGGTTTAGGTTAGATTTTACTTTACTGTTTCCAATTAATGGATATTGAAAAGGTAGTGAATTGATCATATAATTTTGGACATGTAAGTATTTTATATTTATAATATTGGATTTGTCGTATTTTATATTTATAAGATTGTTAGAATTGTCATTTTGTAATGTTGGATTCGTACTGTTGGATTTTTAATTTTTAGTTTCTAAAAAATTAGGTTTTAAGCTTTTAAAGTTGTTAAAAATAATCTTTTTAACCTAAACCAAAATAGTTGTTTAGCAAAAAAATCGAATTTTAAGCCTATAAACCGGGGGAACCGGGGCGGGACCGGGAACGATGGAGGTAACCGGGGGCTGGACCGGGGGCTATGTAAGCGGGGAGGGGGGGGGGGGGGACCGGGAGCGGAAGCACCAACTGATTTCAAGGGCGAGAGCGGGGGCAGCTATTTCCGCTCCCGTTTGGTACCGTTGACATCCGTAAATCAAACGCTCAATAGGCACTACAAAGCTACTTGCTAGGACCCATATAAAATGCCTAAAGTATTGAATACCTTCAAAATTGAGAATCCATTCAAAATTTTTCCATAAAATGGTTCAAATACACAACAAGAAGCCTTAGAGGCTATTCACAATAATAGTTACTTTTAGCTTTAAGCATAGAGAATCGAAAAGATGACTGGTGATCCATATCATATATAATATTTTTTAGTCATACACAACAATTTATGTTTTATATATCCATAAATTATTGTGTATCAATAAAAAATATTTTTAATTGTACAAATGAATTTAATCCAACACATGTATTAAACTTTGAGTCCGTTAAATTAAATAAGTTGAATTGAATTGATATTTTTATTTTTCAACTTTATTGATTAAACTAGGTGTAAGACCCATGTATTACATGAGTTTATTTAAAAAAATATGAAATTCTAAACATTTAAGAAGTTTAAATTTATAAAAAAAAAATAGAAAAATATTGAATTATTAAAATTAAAGTGTTTTTCTCCTTTAAATTTAAACATATAATTTAGATAAATAAACAAAGGAATATAATGAGGTTTTAATTCTGAAAATTTGGAATTAGAAGGAAAATCCTTGCCTTCCGTATGAAAAAGGTGATTGGCAGTGTGATTGATGAAGTTCAATCTGCCTTCGCTGAGGGAAGAAACATATTAGAGGGCCCCCTAATAGTAAACGAAATTTGCTCTTGGGCTAAGTCAAGTGGAAGGGAAATCTTATTATTCAAGGCAGATTTTAACAAGGCTTTTGATTCGATCAATTGGGGATTCCTTGAGTCCATAATGACTCAAATGAACTTTGGTTGTAAATGGAGATCGTGGATTAGGGGTTGCCTTGAATCGGCTAGGGCTTCTATCATTATTAACGGGAGCCCCACTGCCGAATTCTCAATGACTAAAGGTGTGAGACAAGGAGATCCTCTATCTCCTTTTTTTGTTTATAATCGCGATGGAGGGACTAAATGTTGTAATGAAGACTGCGACTTCCAAAGGTATATTTGATGGTATCCATATCCCTAATGCTAATGTATGTCTATCTCACCTCCTGTACGTAGATGACGCTCTATTTTTGGGTGATTGGTCACAAAGGAATGTTGCAAACCTTGCTAGAATCCTTAGATGTTTCCATGTCTCATCCGGTTTAAAGGTCAATTTCTCCAAGTCTAAAGTTTATGGTATTGGGGTCCCGTCGCAGGAGGTTGTTAACTGGGCAACCCCTCTTGGATGTGAACCTGCGGTGCTACCCTTCACCTACCTTGGTGTCCCGGTAGGTTTAAATATGAATCGAAAGGCCTCGTGGAACACTATAATAGAAAAATTGAGGTCAAAACTTTCAACTTGGAAAGCTGAAACCCTCAGTTTCGGTGGAAGAATCACCCTCGCCAAAACGGTACTGGGAAGCATTCCCACATTCTTCCTATCTATCTTTGGCGCCCCAGAAGGAGTCATAAGATCATTGGAAAAAACTCGTAGATAGTTTATTTGGGGAGGGTCTACTTGCAAGAATAGCATAAAATGGGTAGCCTGGGAAAAGGTTATTGCTCCAAAAATTGTTGGAGGTTTGGGTATTGGCTCTATTCGTTACCTTAATTTAGCATTGCTAACTAAGTGGTTATGGAGGCTGAAAAACAAACCCAACTCTTTTTGGGTCCAAATTGTCAATGGTCTTCATAAATTGGTGGGTGCAAATAATAGGTTTGGAGCAAAACATCCTTGGAGCAGTATATGGAACAATATAGTAAAAAGCATAAAAAAGTTAGAAAAAATAAATATTTCATTCGACGATGTAATGCATCAGAAGGAGGCTAGTGGCACATGGGTATCTTCTTTTGCTAGAGATGGACGGTTCTGTATGGCAGCTCTACGGGAAAGAATTGAAAGAGCATCATTCTCGGTATGTGACGGAATCTTCCTATGGATAAAACTGGTTCCATTAAAAGTATTGGGCTTTATTTGGAGAGCGAAACAAAGTCGAATACCCTCAACTGAAGCACTCAAAACCAGGGGAGTTACAATGGACTTAACTATCTGTGGTGCCTGTAATATGACAGATGAAACAGGTGACCATATTCTTGCAACATGCACGTTGGCGAGGGATGTATTACGGATGATCCTTCATTGGTGTGGTTTACCGGAGACAGATTTTCATTCAGTATCGGACATAATTGATTATGCATCTAGATGGGGAAGATGTCCTAAGAAGAGGAGTAGATTAACTGCGATCTTATTTGGTACCATATGGTGTTTATGGAGAGCCCGGAATGATAGGATCTTTAAAAAAAATTGTCTTAAATTCAGAGAGAATAGTAGGGGCTGTTAAATCTTTGACATATGTGTGGATTAAACATAGAGGAACAAATAATAGTATAGATTGGATAGTATGGAACTCCTCTCCTTTATTCTATTAATGTATTGTAACTATATTTTCTACTAGCTACTTGCTAGTGGAGTTATTTTCATTTTTATATATCACATTTTGCCGATTCAAAAAAAAAAAATTAATTAATTATTATATGAAAATTAATAAAAATGAAAATAACCACAAAATATCATGTGAAAAGAATTTAATTGAAAATAACCTCAAAATGATAAATGATAAAATTAATGAAAGTGTGCCATGTAAAAAATATTTTCGTAAAAAAAGAAACCAAACTTAACCAAAGTCCGAACCTATAACTGGTAACTCGTTGACACCTTTCTTAAAATTTGAAATCATATATTTCAATAAAATTTTTTGCAAAAAACAATCCTATATTCTTTCATAACGACACAAAATGAAAAAAATGGTAAATAAATTTCTTCTAAAACAAAAAGTGAATTATATCGTCACCTCCGAAATTGAGAAGGAAATTTCCACTACCACTACCAGTAGACAGATTCCTTTTAGTTTCCATGGAGTCGTGTCACGTTTCCATAACACTTCCTTTCGCGTTCTCGTTATTACCTTAACCTTTGTGAAATCAACGATTTGAACTTTGAAGGAAGAATGGTGTTTCATTGTCGATGTTTCTCATTCGAATATGAACCCAGAAGTCGAGGAAAATCGAGTTCGACTGAAACATTTTATACCGCTTCGTCGGATTTCAAACGGTCCAAATCCGATCATCTTACCTCCTCAAATTTTACCCTAAAAGGAAACAATCTTAGGGTCTTCACATTCGACGAGCTCAAGTCAGCAACTAGCGATTTTTCCATGTCTTCCAAGATCGGAGAGGGTGAATTTTGGAGCGTCCATAAGGGCACAGTTAAGAGTCTGGAATGTCCGTTTGATGAGATTCATGTAGCTGTAAAGCTCGCCAATGGACGATTGCCGGTTAGTTTAATCTCCTTCCTCAATTCCTTTCTGAAATAGCGTGAGATTACGAGAGAATTCAGAAAGGTTTTGAATTTGGTATTGATTAATGATTATTGCAACAGGGGCATATAAAACGGCTAAGGGAGGCGAGTCTTCTTGGTGTGATTGATCATCCAAACCTCGTAAAACTAGTTGGTTACTGTGTAGAAGATGATGAAACGGAAATAAACCCGCCGATTCTAGTCTATGAGTATATGCGTAATGGAAGTGTGGAGGATTGCTTATCATCTGCAACATCCACAACACATCTCTCGTGGACCATGAGACTGAAAGTCGCTCAAGATGTTGCTCGTGGCTTAGCTCATCTGCATGAAGGAGCGGAGTATCAGGTACGTATTTCAATGGCTGAATATACATTTAATTAAAAACAAGTAGTTTACAAATGGAGATGTTTGTAGGTAATTTTCAGAGATTTCAAATCGTCCAATATCCTTCTAGATGATCAATGGAACGCTAAGCTTTCGTTCAGATGGCTTAGTTTACATCCTCACCCACTCAACTATATTTCAACCTCTTCGGTATAACCAAAGTTTTCATCTTTAAATATCTGGATTAATTTCTTGATATGTATGTTATATATAATGTCATGATCAGGTAACAACAGGATATTCGGCTCCAGAGTACAATCAAACGTACATTGAAACAGGGCATCTGACAGCCGCATGCAATGTATGGAGCTATGGGTGCTTCCTGCATGAACTTATAACGGGTAGGCTCCCATTGGACAGAAACCGTATTAAGAATGACATACAGATTATAAAAAGGGTGAAGTCCTACCTACAGTCAAAAAGGGTACCTGTTGATCCAAGACTTGAAGATGATTATTCGATTAAGTCAGCGCAAAAGTTGTGGATTATAGCCAACAGATGCTTGTCGAAAAACCCGAAGTCTAGGCCAAAGATGAGTCGTGTCTTGAAAATGGTTGACAAACTCCTTGGGGTTCCATCACAAGGGGTGTAGACTTTTTTTTTTTTAAAGTTCCTATGAAGTTGAAGAAAGAAACAAAGTTTTATAAGTACATGCAAAACGACTCACAATAACATCTTGGATCTCTTGAAATTTTGTTGATTTTGAGGGAGTACTGTTTTGTATCATATCGAGTAACAAATTATGTTTTGTCGTGTAATTTGCTTCTTAAAATCTAGGATTGTTGACTCAAATGATCTTGAAGTTACAAAATTGTCACAAGTTAGCCATGTAAGATCAAAGCATGGCTATTAAGCCTTTGAACTCTAATTTTTGTTCCTATTTCGTCTTTGCAACCGCCTACTTCGGTTTTGCATGTTTATTGTGGAGCTGATATGGCTCTACTTGGGTATTGATCAGGGTCGGATTTGAGGGGTAAGGTGGGCAGCCGCACAGGACCCCAATAAAATAGAGCTCAAGATTTAGTCATATTGTTTATTTAATATTTATATAAATAATAAATCATTCAAACAAAAACATAGTTTCATTATGGTTCAAAGCGTGCTTCTAATTTTTTAAGATAATACCCTTCAGGTGGTACCTTTTTAATTGTGTTAAACTTTCTTTATGTGCTCCACTAAATTCTCGTGTCTTTTTTATTTTTATTTTTATTTATTTATTTATTTTTTTTGCATCTACTAAGAACAAAATTACAAAAATCTTCAAGTAATATTTTATTTTTCTTTGTGTGCCTCCATAAATTCTCATGCTTTATTTTATTTTATTTTTTTTTATTATTTTTTTTGCATTCACTAAGAACAAAATTGCAAGATTCTTTGAGTAATATTTTATTGAAGTAGTAAATAATTTTTTAAAAGATTAATTAAGAGTTTTAGAACATTATGCATCCATTTGTTTCACTAATTTATAATGACTTCCAAAAAGATAATGATAGTAACAACTTTTAGTTATCAATAGGGAATCATTGAACGGTTGAAGGAGAATAGTAGATTTTTATCACATTTTACTAATAACCAAACTAACCTTTAAAATATTGATTTTATTAAGAAAAATATTTTTAGTGAAATTGTAGTATAAAATATCCGGTCCGGAACAGCTAGTCGGTACTTATTAAAATACTATGATTTTGCTGTTTTTATTGTTATAAAGTTTATCGTTATTTAAAAAAAAAAAACAGTTTATGTAATTTAATTTGTTCCATGTTAAGACCAAAAGACCTTTTTTCCCGGTTTGTCTAGGGTATTTGAATTTTTAGGACCGGCCATGGTATTGATCCTAGCATATATTGAAAAAGAAAAATGAATTTAAGAGCTTAAATTCAAAATGAATTCATTGATTAAGTTTCATAAGTTGTTATCAATATTATGTATGTCCTTTGAAATTAATATAAATGTTTCCTTGAAACTTATGTGAAAAATGATGATTTTTTGAAAAGTTCAAAAATCATTAAATAGATTACTTTGGAGCTTATAACTCGATATCTAGAGTCAATATGTAAGTTCCTTTCTAAGAGAAATTTGTGTGGTTGATATGATGTATGAATCCATAGATAAAGAATCGACTAAATCCAAGTTCATATGAAAAATGTTGTAGACATTTGAAGAATCGACTAAATCCAAGTTCATATGAAAAATGTTATTATATACATTTGAAGTTAGGGAAAAAGTTGCATGAAGTGAAAAAAGTACTTGAAATAGTGAATTACCATTGAACTGGAATGATATTATTTCTAAATCAAAGTTTATTCACAAAAGCACTTTGTATTATCTAAATGAAATTAATGATTGCAAATTTGCAATTCTAGAAGTGTTTGAAGGTATTTAAAGGAACAAAAGGATCATTTGAGCTAGCAATTGCAATGCATGGATTTAAGTCTCACAACTCCACAGTTGAATTTGGAATCGTGTGTTGTAAGGTAGAAACGTGTCTTTCAGTATTAGATCTACAAAGATTGTTATTTCTTTTGGGGATTGAGGTTAATCTTCTTCTTTTTTTTTTTTTTTTTTTTTTTTTTTTTTTTGGAATTTTTGGGGATTGAGGTTAATCTTTGGGGATTGAGGTTAATCTTTGGGGATTGTTATTTCTTTTGGGGATTGAGGTTATTTCTTTTGGAATCGTGTGTTGAATTTTTTTTTTTTTATAACTAAACTTAGAAATAGATAAAAAAAAATAGAAAATAGATATGAAAAAGACTAGTAATTTTTTTTCTTTTTAGATGAAGGAATTTTTTTAAACCATAAAAATGTAATCTATTAAATTTTCTAAGATTAGACAGTACGATTTTAAGCAAACTACAAGGACCATTATTGTAATTTACTCTTATAAAATTGTCAAAATAATACTACATAATGATACATTGGAACGCATTACCTTCTTTCTTTGAACTCTTCTGTTTTAGTTTGCCACTAAATATCATACGATCGTCGCCGTTGAAAGAATTATTTTGCATAATCAATGGTTGGCAAGGTATCAAGTGACACCATTGATAATTTGATACCATGGGTCAAATTCGACTGCTCGCATACTAAAGCAAAACCTCTCAATCCATTCTATATAACATGATTTCGTTCGCACCTTACAACATATATTGCCACAAACCTCCAACCATCAAGTATAATTAAAATGGTTAGTTATTTATTATTCTTTTATTAGCAATAATACAAATGTTATTTCAAAACGTGTGTTTATAAAATGATTATCATATCTATTTTATGTTTTAAATATGTATTTTGAATGGTTGTTACAAACAATTTATGTAATGATTGCTTGTATTTCTTTTTTACGTCTATCATTAGTTACTAATTAATTGAGAAGTTTTAATTATTTGTTGATTATTACGTTTATTTAAATTGTCACTGACCAATTTATATATTTTTCATGTATGGAATAATGGAAATTTTGTTCTTCGCTTTTGAATAGAGTTCTGCAATCGAGATCAAGGTAACCGAGGGAAATTTAAGAAATGAGTTTTTTTTTTTTTTTTTTTTTTTTTTTTTTTTTTTTAAGAAAATGACCATATGTTTTCAGGTTTTGAAAAATAATCATATTTTACTAATTTTATATCATTGTTCCTACTCATACTATGAAGTTTTTTTTTACAAACAATCTCCCTCCTTTTTTGTATCCAAAATATTTATTTCAAAGTGTTTAATGTTAACGTTTTACAATAAAATGTATGCTTTTATAGATTAATATTGTATATAGTCCATATCTACAATATTTGTTTAACTTTTTGTTAGATTTAAGTAAAAAACAAACATTTTTTCTCAAAAATTCATAATTGTTCATTGGATTTCAGACCCGCTTTTGAAATTCCATGAGTTTTTTTTTTTCCGAAATCCAAAATGTTGGTTCGGAATCTGGAATGTCGTCCTAAATTCCGGAATTTCAGTCAGAAATGTATTTTCAAAAAAATGTTTTTTTTCTTAATCCAGAATGCTTATTCCAGACCAAGTGATTGTTTTTGGTAAAAACTAATTTTTTTGTTATTTTTTTCAACACATTAAAATATGGTTAGATTACTTAATTTCCTTGAACATATTATTAATTAATCTTGTTTTTGTAACTTTTTTATTTGATTTCAGAAAATTTTCATTCAAAAATCTGAGAGAGTTAAATCGATTCACTTGCATCCAACCAAACCATGGTAATGAATTTTTCTATTATTAATTTCCCATGTATTTGTTTTCTTATTTCTTGCGTATGTTAACTATACTTAACAATTAAATTATATTTTTTCTATCTAAAGGGTCTTGTTAGGTTTGTATTCCGGAAATGTTTCTATTTGGAACTCTCACTCTCAAGTAAGCCATTATCAATTTATGTAATTGTTATTTGGATTATCTTTATAATATGGGATTATGATACCAACAAAAATAAAACATATACATATATCCAAATATTTATTAATGGGTAGCATCTTCTTTGCAGGTAACAGAGAAGACTTTTGAAACCGGCAAATCGCCAGGTACGTGATTTGTTTTTCGACACAGCCTTAAATGGACTTTACATGTTTGTCCTAACAGTTAGAATGTAATAAATATGTGAATTCTCATGTTCAAGCTTAAGAATATTACTTGAATGACACTTTGACTTACTATCTATCTATTGTTGATTGTGGATTATTTGGTGGATTTTTTACAAGTCCTTACTAAAGTTATAGACTTGTATGTTGTGAAATCTAGTTATGCTTACTTGTAGTTTATTTATGTTTTGTAGTACGAACTGCAAAATTTATTGCGCACAAAGAATGGATTGTTGTGGGATCCGATGACGGGTTTCTTCGTGTGTATAACTATAACAATATGGAAAGTGTCGTGGAGCTAAAGGCACACACAGACTTCATTAGGTCTGTGGTTATTCATCCATCTCTTCCATACATACTTTCTGCATCTGATGACAAGCTCATAAAGCTATGGGATTGGGAGAATGGTTGGGAATGCACTAAAACATTTCAAGGGCATGAACATTATGTCATGCAAGTAGCATTTAGCCCGAGGGATGCGAATGTATTTGCAAGTGCATCACTCGATTGTACCATTAAGGTACATAGTATTAACTTTCATTGTACAACCTGCTAATGTGTACAAGTAACTATATATTCATGATTGAAAATATGATTCTAATTCTTATATATGTTTGTCTTTCAAGATGTGGAATCTTGGATCATCAAGTTCACATTTGTCGATTTTAGGTCATTCAAAAGGTTTGAATTCTGTTGAATTTTTTGAAACCGATGAAAAGCTCCACTTCGTCACAGTATCTGATGATTGTACTGCCAAGGTATGTCTATTTAATTTTTATATAATTTTTTTGATCAAAAGTAAACCAACATTAAACTAATACATGAACATTAATTAGGTTTGGGACTATGACACCAAGGTTTGTATTCAAACTCTTGAAGGACACACAAACAATATTACGTCTATACTACATGTGAACTTGGACTTTAATTTAATCATTACCGGATCTGAAGACAAAACTTTACACGCATGGAATGCGGCAACTTACAAGTTAGACCAAGTGTTTACCTCCGAACTTGGCAGAGTTTGGACCATTGGATTCATAAAAGACTCATCCCAGTAAGTCTCTTGAATTTTACATTTGATCTTCGATTGATACGATTATAAAACTTACAATTATATTTATATAATAGGATTATACTTGGTTGCGATGAAGGAATACTCGTTGGGCATATCATCCGTGCTTGTTCTTGAGCAAATCGTAGATCAACCGATCTATAGGTGTATTATGTATTA